CATGATTGCAGCAGCACATTGACAGGAAGTCTGCAGAAGGTCAGCTGGGATTCAGAAGAAGATGTGAAACAAGAGATTTCATAGCTGATGTTTCAGATGGATCTTGGCTCAAAGTAGAGGATACCTGAAAGTTCTTTACTTGTGTTTTATTGAATATGCGAAGGCATTCCACAGTATGGACTATAATAAACTATGTATAATCTTGAGACAAATGAGAATTCCAGAACACTTCATTGTGCTCCCAAGGAAATTGTACGTGGATCAGGAGGCAATTGTGAGACCAGAACAAGGGGACACTGCATGGCTTAAATTGGGAAAGGTGTGTGTCCGGGTTGTATCCTTTGACCATACTTGTTCCATCTGCATGCTGAACAAGTCATCGGAGAAGCTGGATTATATGAAGAAGAATGTGGCATCAGGATAGGAAGAAGGCTTATTAATAAACTCTGATATGCAAATGGCACAACCTTGAGCAGGATGTGAAGCACTAGCTTGTGAAGATCAAGAATTGCAGCCTTCAGTATGGAATAGAACTCAATGTAAAGAAGATCAAAATCCTCACAACTGGACCCATAGGGCACATGATGACAAGCATAGAAAAGAGTGAAGTTGTCAAGGAATTTGTCTTGCATGGACCCACAATCAATTCTCATGGAAGCAGCAGTCAAGAGATGAAGAGAAGAGTTGCATTGGGTAAATCTGCTGCATAAGATCTCTTTAGAGTATTGAAAATCAAAGATGGTACTTTGAGGACTAAGGTACACCTGACTCAAGCCATCATACATTCCATTGCCTCATATGCACGTGGAAATTGGAGACTGAATATATATAAGGAATACCAAAGAAGAATGGATTCATTTGAGTTGTGATGCTCAAGAAGGATATTGAAAGTATCATGGAATGCTGAAAGGATGAACTGATCTGTCTTGGAAGGAGTACAGTCGGAGTGCTCCTTAGAGGCCAGGATGGCAAGATTTTGCCTTACATGTTTTTTGTATATTATCAGGAGAGGCCAATCTTTGGAGAAGGGCATCATGCTTGGTCAAGTGGAGGAGCTTAGAAGAAAGAGGAAGGCCCTCAAGGAGATGGATCGACACGTGGCTGCAACCATGGATTCAGCCATAAGACCATTTGTTAGGACGGCACAAGACCATGCCGTGTTTCCTTCTGTTGTGCATAGGGTAGCTATGGGTTGGAACTGACTCAGTGGCACCCAACAACAACAACAAAACAACAATAACAGCACCCCAATCAGTTGGTAGAAGTTATAGAGTCCTGGATAGAGAAGCCTTATTAAGAAATTTCACTTTGCACGATGTGTGTGTGTAATTTAGAGAACCCTGGTAGTCCAGTGTAAGGCATTGCGTTACTACCTAGAAAATGTGTGGTTCAAAGCCATTAGCCTTTTCAAAAGAGAAAGATGAGCTATTCTGCTTCCTTGAAGATTTGCATCTTTGGAAACCCTATGAGGCAATGCTACACGGTCCTATAAGATCACTCTGAGTTGTAATTCACTCAACAGCAGTAGGTTGATATTATTTGTCATGTATGTTAAATGAAAAAATTACTATTAAAAGAAAAGCGTTCACCCAATGTATCCCTAGTACCAAATCATGCTTTCTCCTGGTGCACACATCAAAATCCTGGACTAGAGGGAGAGCCAATACCTTAGCTAAGTGTGAAAATCACTGACAGATTTGACTTCCCATGAAATGAGGTCACAGCAAATAGGAAGCGAAAGAGCAAGCGGCGAGTCCCTGGCATCAGGTTCTGTTACGGTTTGAGCAGGGGTTGTGCGTGTAACATCATTTTGTTATAGCTGGAAGGTGCAGCGAGGAATTGGTGTGGCAGCAAGATCACAGTGTTGCCTAATCTCTTCCTGTACCTGGTCAACAAGGCTTCAAGGTGTCCTCCCTACTTTACACAGGCTCTTCCTGAGAATGAAGTAGGTTATCTCTGTACTCGAGTAGTGGAAAGGTTAGGTTAGACTCAGTTGGCCGGACGCTAGCAGGCTAATCGCTCTCTCCTGCAGAGGAAGGCGGGGATCTGGGTGGGCCACACAGGCTGTTGTCAGAGGTGAGTGGGAATTTCACACTTCTCTCTTAAGTTTTGAGCTGGACCTCAACACATAACACCTGCTGGCCCCCTGATTATAAGAACTTCTATTATTTGCAAACATGTGTCTAAGGGGTCACCACCCAGAGGGGGAGCACAGCAATCTCAAACATATGCGTATACCTTAGAGCAGCGGTTCTCAACCTCTGGGTTGTAACCCCTTTGGGGGTTGAATGACCCTTTCACAGGGGTCACCTGATTCATAACACTAGCAAAAGCATAGTTATGAAGTAGCAATGAAAATAATGTTATGGTTGGGACGTCACCACAACATGAAGTGTATTTAAGGGTCGCGGCATTAGGAAGTTTGGGAACCACAGCCTTAGAGTGTTCTTAACCCTTTCAAACTTTTTCTTGAGTCTCTGAGCATCCTGGGAGCATCAAGGACTATTCACAATGAGCAAGCTAGAGGCTAAGGGTAATGCAGCAAGTACACTATGGCCACGGGGCTCGACTGGTTCCATGGACCCAAAGCCCACAGCGATTTCAGTCATAAACCTTTCCCATGATGGTCTAATTTTTCAGATTGGATGGTGATTATTACAACTGTAATTCAGGCCTTAACATGTGTTTTTAATTCCTGACCTTCTTCCTCCTTCTGCTACCAAACTGAGAACCCCACTGTGACCCTTTCTTCCTCGGCAGGAAAGAACAATTAACGTGTCAACTGAATCTTACCTCAACCTTTCCTCTACTCTAATACAGAGATAACCTATTAGTTCTCAGGGAGTGCTTGTTTAAAGCAAGAGAGGGCCACCTGGAGGCATTCAGAGGTAATATTGTGACTTCGGTACCTCGCTGGTCCCTTACTGCAACTGCCAACTATAGCAAAATGATGCTACACTCCCTTAAAACCCTGGGGCAGGGGGACATCTCTGTGGGTGGGATTGCTTGGATCTCCTTTTGCTTGTGCATCAGAACTTCCCCCAGTGTGGGTAATGGACACTTGCTTCGGAATCCCTTGGGGGTGCTGGGCAGTGAGATGGGCCCTGGGCCTACCTGTGCAGCACATATTCCAGGTGATACTTGGGACCACCAGTGCTGGTAAACCTGTTCTGCGGCACAAGGGGGTGGGCTTGTAGACTCAGTGGAGACAGTGTCATGAGAGTGCCGACTCTAGCGCTGGGGACAGTGACGTGGGAAGGGTGTCCTCTCTCGTCTTCCCTTTTCTTTTGGGCACCACACCTGTCTCCAGCTGCCCAGCCCATCTCAGATCTAAATGGATGTCCTCAAAGGAGTGGTTTGGGCTTTTCTACAATTCTATATGGGGCATCGGTGATATTTCAAATAGTATTCTTTTATCTCTCTTGGTTCTAATATCTATTGGGGTGGCTACACAGGACTTACCGACAATATTTGTGATTAACAGGTTGTCATGCAAGTGAAATGCTCAGGATACAGTTTACCAGGACATGTTGCAAAGCTTGTTCCTGCCTCCTAATAAACCCCTCCAAGGGCAGACCACTCCTTTGTAAGCCTCGACCCAAAGGCATTCAGCTCAAGCTCCATGGGTCAGCAAACCCAGCTCCCCGATTTAAGGCTCAGAGGAACCCCACTCCAGTAAGCCTCTGCTGTAGGCCCTCAACTCCACTTCTGTGGGTCAGCAAGCCCAGTTTCCTTAAGTAAGTGCCCAGTGGCACTCCACTCCATGAGCCAGCCTCCTGTCCTAAAGCACTCGGCTTTCTTTGTTCTGTGGGCTGAGAAGGCCACCACTCTGTTCCGTGTTTTGGCTCCTGGTTCTCCTCCTGCTCTCCTCTGATATTGGTTTTGGCTTGGTGGCGTCTTAGAGAAGCTCTGGTGGCTTGTCGAGTAGGGACTCAGCTGCTTAACACAAGGTTTGATTTGAACCTACCAGTGGCTCTGCTAGAGAAAACACTGGCAGTCTCCTCCTGTGAAGAGGGTAGCCGAGGAAACCATGTTCTACAGGGCCTGTATTGACAGGATGGCACACACCATGAGCTAGACTCCTGTGTGCTGGGGACATACGCATGAGAGCCAGATGCCTTTTTCAATTGTGTCCAGCAGTTTGTTGTTGGCTTCAATCAGCCCCTACCTCCTGGCAACCCCATGCACAAGGGCTGAGGACCCTGCCTGTTGAGCACCAGCCACCCCCACGATCAGTGGCAGATTGTAGGGTTTTCATCAGCTGATTGTGGGGAGTGCATTGCCAGGTATTTCTTCCTACTCTTCCTTAGTTTGGAAGTTCCGTAGAAACCCTTTCAGCATTATAGTAATATGCAAGCTTCCACTGACAGACAGGGAGTGGCTACTCTTGAGTTACATTGGCAGGCAAAGACTTGAACCCTGATCTTCTGCAAGGAAGTAAAGAATTCTACCATGGATCTACCCCTGCTCCCACAGTCCAGGAGTAGGTGCTCAATAAATACTTCTTGACTTAATAAAAGATGTCTGAGCATGTTAATCATCATAACCCCAATTACAGAATAGGGGAGCCCCCAGCTGTGTCTTCCTTTCAGGAATGCTAGAGACTCATTGTCGGGGGAAATAAGAGCCCCCAACAAATGGCGCCATCACATGACTGTGGGAGGGGAGCTCTTTTGAGTTGTGCCCCATGTGGCAGTTGTATGGCCCCACGTTGGGCTCCATTTGTTGGGGGCCCTTCTCCCCCCCTCCCCCCCAACAACTCGTGTGAAAATGTCGTGGCCATTAGCAGTAATTGCTATTGTAACAAAAAGGATTGTTGAATATTGAGCAATTACACAAATTGAAGGGCAGTTCGCGTAGGACACCACACCACAATAAGCCAGGTTATTATAATATTATTTGAAAACATCATCTAATTGATAGTATGGCACAAACACTGATTGCATATCACAGGCAGTAACAAGCATCGCTAATATTTTTTTCTCCTCTCAAATTTATAGGCCATCTTAATGAATCATCATTGCCTACCTGGGCAATAATTCTCCTTGCAGTATCGTTTTCATTGCTTTTGATCCTGATAATCATTCTGATTATAATATTCTGCTGCTGTTGTGTCTCCAGGGAAGATAACAAAGGTAATGTTTTTGCTTGTATGGATTTGTATATATTTTTGGTATGAGCAGTTGAAATTCATCAGCACATCAGGTCTTTGCAAAGATCTATTAGCTTTCCCAATCCTTGAAAGGAAACATGATCAGAGAAAGGACTGTCTTTCTTTCTTTCTCTATTTCTTTTGGAAGTGATTTCTTAAGGGTCTGATAGAAACTTGCTATAAAAATACAAAAAAACAAAAACAAACCCCCAAACTGAACAACTGGGAGAATGGGGCACGAATAACAATGAGCATAAGAAGGAAGAAAACGCTCTAGAATGGATTCTGGTGATGACTGCACAATTCTTTTAAAAGTGACTGAACTGTTGAAGTGTATGATAAGTGCATTATATGTCAATAAAACTATTTAAAAATACAAACAAACATACAAATACAACAAACTAAGACCACTATCATTGAGTCAATTCTGACTCTTATCACCTGGGACTGGAGAGCTTTATGGGAGCAGACAGTTTCATCTTTCTCCCACGGAGGGACTGGTGGTTTAAGCCATGGACCTTGTGGTTAGCAACCCCAAACTGACCCTACCACACGAGCAGGGACCCTTGAGCCTGATATGCTTGCAGTCAGTGACGGGGGATGCACTTTGGAGAAAGTGGGCCCTGGCACTTTTCTGATCAAAGACGTTGACTACTTGATTTCCAGTTCTTTGTAAATTGTCTGACTTCTGTAACCTGCGAGGTCGAGGGTATGGCTTTTCTAGAATATTGCCTACCTGAACACACTAAAAACTCGTTCCCTAATTTGTGGAATTCCAAGTCTCTCTGTATAGATCCATGTTGCTGCAGGAGCAGAAGGACAAATCATTTTCCCTTAATCAAAACAAATGGAATAAAAACCATTCCAAATTTCCTCTGAAGGAGATCTTCTGAGATCTCCCAAGATGTATGAAAATGAAGGCCTCGTTTAAGGGCTGGCCTCCACATTCGGGTGGATTCAATGTATACGTGGGTCGTTTGTGACTTTGGAAGCTTCTGGAAACTATGTTTTGGACAGACTTTCCCCATCAAATATTCACCTATTCTTGGTTGCATATTTTGAATAGTTAAATTGTTTTGCTTAAGATCAGAAATTTGAGATGAGGATACCTGTGAGTTTAATTGCTAATCTTCTTTTATCAACAAAAATCAATATATTGCTATTTGAGGAGAACTTTTCTTTCTTACTTTATTTTTTTTCATGCCAAGACGCTAGGTTAACTCTTACACTGACTAGCTCTCTTAATGAGATGTTCTTTGTCAGGCACTGGGTGGAGCCTCAGCTGTGCTCAGGGGGCAGCCTTAATTCCTCCACGGACTTGCTTTGGGATGGAGGAATCAAGTCTGTGGTATAACTTTCTATCTGGGACTCAGAAATAAAATCCCCATTTTTCCAGATTAGGTATAAAATTTTTACCTGGGAGTTACTTCTATTCCACAGATCAACGCCTCAAGTAAAACACACTGGAATTAAAGTGAAAATGATCAAAGAAGCCTTAACTTTCCATGCAGGTGCCACTATGGATTGCACAGTACTTTTAGGTTATTATTTGATCATAACTATGGTGGGGTCCTTGAAGAATATTACTTGGAATTCCTGATTTTCCATAACAACTATTTTCCATAGTTCTTAGGTTAGTGGAGAAGGCTCCAAATAGGCTCTTTGGACAGATGATTCTCTGATTTATCATTTCCTCAATTATAAAGTGGGAAAAAGGACTATCCTACATATGTTTGGGTGGAAATTACATATGTGTGTGTGTGTTTTCCCTTTAGATAACATTGAGATAAAAAGCCCACTGAACTATTTTATTTTCCTTTGAATTTGAATCAAGTCCAGGCAAGGCGATGAAAAGACCTGTGAAGATATATTTACGAACTTGCCCTGCCCCAGCAGGCGCGATGCCCTAATGAAACCAGAATACAACTTAATATAAAGGTCAAGGTTCCAATCAAGTTCTGGGGTTTAGTGTTTAAAAGGGGGATGTCAATAATTTACCCTTACATATCCATATTGGCATATGATATGAAACAGACTCAATATTATTTCTTAACACTATTTTTTAATTATTACACTTATGATTTTGAAGTTCATCATCATACACTTTCAAAGTATTTTCTGCGTTTGGTTTGACTGGAGCTGGGGAGTCCAGAGCTGACTGATCATGGCTCCACTTCCCCGAGAGGCTTTGAATTATTCAAAGAGAGCCACCCAGAGGCCATCTTCTCCAGTCGTCCACTGCTGGGTACAAGAAGGGTGGTGCCCACTCCTACTAGAGGCCATGCCACAGGGTGGTACAAATAGTACACTCAGCTGCTAGCTGAAAGGTTGAGGGCTTTGTCCTCCTAGAAGCATCTTGAAAGAAAAGCCCAGAGTTCTACTTCCATAAAAATCACCTCTGAAAACCGTGCAGAGCACCGTGCTACGCTGACCCAGATGCTGTCGCTAGGTGCCGGGGCGTCAGTTCTGACTTAGAGGCGACTCTGTGCACAACAGGGGCACCACCCAGTTCTGCATCCTCCTCACAACTGCTCTTACGATTGGACCCACACATCGGCCCATCTTGCCCAGGGTCTTTCTCTTTTCCACGGCCCCTCTACTTTACGAACACGAGGATCTTCTTCAGGGACTGGCCTTTCCTGATCTCACGTCAGAGTACTGTAAAGCAGGATCAACTGGGTGACAACTTTTTGTTTTAGTAGAGGCCATGGACGGAGGCCCAGCAACCTCTCCCTCAATTCAGATAGGACCGCCTCTGAGGTTGAGTTGGAGGAGTGAATTGGCAGTACTCATGTAGGAAAAGTAAGGGAGTGCATGATCTAAATTTGGAAAATTAGTATTTTTTGGAGCTCCGTTCAATTTGATAGGCCAGAAAGCTTGTGTAGGAGAGCACAGAGAATTCTGGCCTCGGGCTTGGCAGCCCAGGACTGGACCACAGCTCTGATCCTCTCATCCGGGAATTCTGTATCTCCTCCTGTCCATTGAGTAAAACCAAACCAAACCAGTTGTTGTCCAGTCAACCCCAATTCAAGATGGCCTCCTGGAGAACCGTGCTCCAAAGGGTTTTCAATGATTGCTCATTTGGAAATAGATTGCCAGCCTCTTCTCCAAGACATCTCTGGGTGGACTTGATCTGCCAACCTTTCAGTTAGCAGGGGAGATGTTGACGATGGACACCACCCAGAGATATGATCCATCTGATGACAGCTTTGCCTCTGCTGGCAGGAGGGATCCGAATGCTGTGAATTGAATAGGAAACATCTCAGAGAGCGACAGGAAGTCTACCTTAGAATTCAAGAAAGGTGGTAGCTATAATTCTTAGAATGAAAGGAAATACGTTACTATAAAATTATTGCTAGAAATAAGTAGCAGATTTTTAATGATCCTTCGTCTTGGGTTGTAGTGATCAAATGGGAGAACACACTGGTGCCTGTGGCTGGCCGGGCTCTCGTGTGTAGTTGAGATGGGGTCCATGTCTGCAGTCCTGTTAACAGAACTGCTTGCTTAGAGTGAATGCAGTCTACGGAGTCTCCCTCAGCAAATTCGACACTCACTGCGTTCTTATTGGATACTTACTACACTTCTGGCACGTAGGGCTGGCTTTTGCTTATATTTTAGTTAATCTCCGAATGACAGTGAATTCCAAGATTGTTACGCTTGAAAGTCATGTGATCGTTTGGGATGGGAGATGTGAATAATACCTGTTCCACTACAAATAGCTACTAAAGTAACATCTCTCCAAACCAGGGCTCTATACAGATCGTATTGCTGATTTTTAGAATAAATATCCTAATTTTCTTAATGCAATTCTGTTCTTTTTCAGAATCTAGTTACCAAAGTGAAATAAGGTAAGTTTGAAATAATATCAATTAAAGAAAATCACACACACACACACACACACACACACACACACACACACACCCCGAAAACCAAACCAAAAATACAAAAACAAAGAAATCCCTCAACTGGAACCTTATTATTTATGTTATGAAAATCAAGTACTGAAAATGGAAAGACTGATCATGTGCGTGGCATTCACATAGTTCCAGGGCCACATTCCTTAGTAGGTTATACTAGGAGAGTTGCTACTCGCTATTTTTGCCTTGCCTTACTTCCACTCATTTAGAACCTGCTTTTGATGAGTTCTGGTGGTGCAGGGGTTAAGAAGTTGACGGCTAGTCCAAAGGCTGACAGTTTGAATCCACCAGCTACTCTGTGAGAGAAAGTTGTGGCAGTCTGCTTCCATTAAGATTGCTGCCTGGGAGGGTAAAGGGAGAATGGGTAGGAAAGAGGGAACTGATTACATGGAACTGTGTGTGACCTCCTCCCTGGGGGACAGACAACTGAAAAGTGGATGAAGGGAGACGTCGGACAGGGCAAGATATGACAAAATACCCATTTATAAACTATCAAGGGCTCATGCGGGAGGGGGGAGCGGGGAGGGAGGGGAAAAATGATGACCTAATGTTGGGGGTTTAAATGGAGAGAAAATGTTTTGAGAAACGATGTACAAATGCGCTTTACACAATTGATGTGTGTATGGATTGGGATAACAGTTGTATGAGCCCCTAATAAAATGTTAAAAAAAAAAAAAAAAAAGATTGCTGCCTGGAAATCTCCTGGGGGCAGTTTTATATTGTCCTATAAAGTCTGAGTTAGAACCCAACCCAATGACGAAGGGCTTTTGTTGGTTAGCATTTACAGCTTGTTCCACAAGAGGGCACTGTGCACCATGACTGCTGCTCTTCCTGCTTGGAGTCAAAGCAAAGACCTGAAGTCCTGTTTCTTTTTCTCTACACCCAACCCACCCAATTATCCTGCTTTAGCTTATTTTTATTTATTTATTTTAAAAAATCATGTTATTGGGGGCTTGTACAACTCTTATCACAACCCACCATCCATCCATTGTGTCAAGCACATTTGTACATTTGTTTCTATCATTATTCTCAAAACATTTTCTTTCTACTTGAGCCCTTGGTATCAGCTCCTCATTTTCCCCCTCCCTTCCGCACCTTCCCTCCCTCATGAACCCTTGATAATTTATAAATTATTATTACATTTTCATGTCTTACACTGTCCAATGTCTCCCTTCACTCTCTTTTCTGTTGTCTGTCCCCCAGGGAGGGGTTATATGTAGATTATTGTGATAAGTTCCCCCTTTCTGCCCCCACTTTCATCCTACTCTCCTGGTTTCGCTATTCTTATTATTGGTCCTGATGGCTTTATCTGTCCTGGATTCCCTGTGTTTCCAGCTCTTATATGTACTAGTGTACATGCTCTGGTGTGGCCAGATTTGTAAGGTAGAATTGGGATCATGATAGTTGCAGGGGTGGGGGTGGGGGAGGCGGAAGCATTAAAGAGCTAGAGCAAAGTTTTATGTTTTATCGGTGCTATATTATATCCTGACTGACTCATCTCCTCCCCGCATCTCCTCTGTAAGGGGATGTCCAGTTGCCTACAGATGATGGGCTTTGGATCTCCACTTCCCCTCATTCACAAATATATGATTTTTTGTTCTTTGACGCCTAATATCTGATCCTATCTACACCTGGTGAGCACAAAGGCTGGTGTGCTTCTTTCATGTGGGCTTTGCTGCTTCTCAGCTAGATGGCTGGTTGTTTATCTTCAAGCTTTTAAGACCCCAGATACTATGTCTTTTGATAGCTGGGCACCATCAGCTTTCTTCACCACCTTTGCTTATTCACTTGCTTTGTCTTCAGCGATCGTGTTGGGAAGGTGAGCATTATGGAATGCCATTTTAATGGAATGAAGTGTTCTTGCGATGAGGGAGTACTTGAGTAGAGGCCCAATATTCATTTGCTACTTCAATACTAAACCTATACATGCATATCTGTGCTCATTCTTATATGGTATTCCATTGATTATCTTTCCACTAGGCAAAGTGGGTCACAGGAGAGGCCTGTTTAGCTTGAGATAATACTGTTACATCATTTTTTCAAAAGAGGTGTGCTAGTTTAGACTTTGACCAGCTTTTATACATGGTACCTTATTTCACCTTGGAGGATGTTTCATACTTATTTTATCAGCCCTTTGTGCTGGCCGTAGAGTTCCTAGTGGCATAAGTTAAGTACTTGGCTACAAAAAGAGGTTGGCAGTTCGAATCCACCCAGAGGTGCTTTGGAGGAAGGGCAGGTGATCTGCTTTTGCAAGTGTATAGCTTCGAACACCTTATGGAGCACAGTTCTCCTCCGAACCCCATGGGGTTGCCAAGATGAGTTGGAGTCAACTTGATGGCAACTGGTTGATGCTTTGTTTTAGCTGAGTGACTGGTGGGCCCAAACTTCCCACCTTAGGACGAGCCACTGAGCTCTTAACCATGGCATCACCAGGACTCACTGTACACGCACAGCCCAAGTCCATGTTGAGGTAGATGCTATTAAACTAAGTGCATGCCCAAGGTCATGAATAATTTGGTGGGGCACAAGGATTCAAATTCCAAGGGCTTTGACTCAATGATAAGACTCATTCTTCGAGCAAAATAGCAAACAATTCCCATTACTTATGTAATTTATGTTAATATAATTCAAATTGGAGTAAGAGTTTATCTTATAAATAATAAATTCAGAAGAACTCATTGGGACTGAGACGGTAACTCTTTATGGGAGTAGAAAGCCCCGTCTTTCTCCTGTGGAGCGGCTGGTGGTTTCCCACTGCTGACCTTGCAGTGAGCAGCCCAATTTGTAACCACTACAGAACCAGGGCCCCTCTTGTAAATAATATAGATATTTGCCCTTCTTAGATTCTTTTCACCAGTAATTCTGTTCATAGGGCAGACCTGTCTTAAAGGGAAGAAGGAGTTAATGGGTTGTGCTTTACATTTTCACTTTTAAAATTATTGGACAGCTGAATTTTTGCAAGTTTTGACATGAAAAATAATGAAGGGACATTTTTTCAAGCACATTTGGTACATATCCTTGATTATCCCCATAAAACAGTGGTTCTCAGCCTTCCTAAGGCCGCAACCCTTTTATACAGTTCTTTATGTTGTGATGACTCCCCGAACGATGACATTATTTTCATTGCTACTTCATCACTGTAATTTTGCTACTGTTATGAATCGGGCGACCCCTGTGAAAGGGTTGTTCAACCCCCATAGGGATCTCGACCCACAGGTTGAGAACCACTGCCCTGGAATAAATTCTTAGAGGTTAAATATGAATACTTTAAACTATTTGCATGTCCATTGACAAGTCCCTTCAGTTAGGAAGCTGCACCTGCTTATCCCTTTACTTCCGGGGTTAGGGTCAGGGTTTTTCCTCTGAAGAGCCAGATATTAAATATTTTTATTTTGGACCAGCTTGATGGTTTCATGAAACTCAGTGCTATTGTTATAAGGTGAAAGCAAATAGGTGGGACTCTGTTCCAATAAAACTTTATTTACAAAAACAGGCAGTGGGCTGGATTTGGTCCCTAGGGCAAAATTTTCCTACCCTTGCTTTCTCATTGTTGTCTGTGGACCTAATGAGATAAAATCCCTTCTGCCACCACTGTAGGACTGTGATGGCTCAGAGTGTCCATTCAGATGCTCATCACTCCCCAAAAGGCAGCAACCAAGCTGTGGACTTAGGACACCCTAAGTCCTATGTGTCATGAAGCTCTGAGCATTGTCATGCGAACCAAATCCTCATGGCTAATTAACATTTTACATCTTAACACGGTCTGATTCTAGGAAATCAGCAAACATGAAAGCAAAAACAGAAAGCATGGAAACAAAGACAAGTGGCAATGACAACTACGGATACAGCTCAGATGAGCCACGGACTTCCAGTAAGTGGCCACGACGACGGGGAGGGGGGTGGCCTCAACAAGAGGGTGTTGCAAGAGACACCAGTGAAACATCGATGACACAAGGCTTTCTGGGTAATTTTTAGAAGACTGCGAAATGTGAGGCACGTGGTAGGAACCAAATAAAAGTCAAAATTCACAAATTTCTCCAAAGCTTCAAATATGGTCAGGTGAAATCTTAAGAGTTTAAAAACATGTATGGATCTTTTTGTTTGTTTTTTAATTCTTTCTTTGTGAGCCTACTTCTACCTTAAAGTATGAGAGGTGGCATCGTAATGCCTTGGGAATAATGTCCTCCCAAAGTCATCTGGATTAGAATGAAATGGAAACTCAAAGACATCTATTCCTATTCCACTTCACAAACTAATCTTGAAATGTCTTTTTGTAGGATCTCACTTCTAATCTCCTATGGGACATGGGGATAAACAGGAGCTAGCAGGCATGCATCTGTTGAAGGGAATGTTGTTAGGAAGTAGCAGAGGCAGTATTTGAAGCAAGGTTTATTTTTAGGGCTAATGAGAGGGAGAGGCTGTACAATTTTCTTTTTTAATAGTCAGTGTCCTGGTCAAGGTGGGCCGCCAAAGCAAATTTCATAGAAAGATGATCACCCGATCAACCCTTGATGGGTAGCTGAAAAATACATATTTTATTTTATATATATACTTTCCATTTCACCACAATTGCCTCCCATGTAAGGGCATTGGTGGTTCAGTGATATAATTCTCACTTTTCACTTGGGAGATCTGGGTTTGGTGCTCAGTCAATACATGTCGTGTCAGCCCATACTAACAAAGCCAGGGAGACTCATATGTGTGTAAGAGAGAGTTTTATATCAAAGAGTAATTGCATATCAAGAAAACATCCCAGCCCGGTCCAGTTCAAGTCCGTAAGTCCAATATTAGCCCCTATGTCTGATACCAGTCTATAAATTCCTCTTGACTCGTGCAACACATGCAATGACACTGAATGCAGGATGATCACATGCCAGTGGGTGAAAAGTCTTGTGGACCCAGTAGTGGTGGAAACATCCCAGAACTGGCATGGGTCTCCAGGTGGCTCCTCCAGCTCAGTGATCTGGCTCCATCAGCATAGTTCCATGTGGCTTGTCAACAGGAATGTGAAGCAGAGGGAGTGTGGGTCTGGCTTCCAGTGAGCTATTGATCTCCGTAGTGCTTCCAAATGAGGTCATCAAGCCGTGACCTGATTGACAGGTTAAACTCTATCTCTTCACTCTTAATAGTCTCAAGTTGACACCAGATTATGTAACTACCACACATGGCCTTTTGCAAAATCTCCAGCAGGCAGATATTTGATTAATTGAGCAAATAATGAAGGAATTTGATCAAAACTTCAATCAAAGTAAGGCCCTCTTCCCCACTTGCTTAAATTTGCCCTGGATTTCTTTCCTTTGGCCAGCCATTAAACCTTTGATTTCTTCATGTATCAGGTAGTGGGTCAAAAAGGGAATAGATTTTGTGTCACTTTGCCATCTTTTAATTTTGTTTAAATGAATAAAGTTCTGAAATTATGTACCCTACTCCCCCCCCCCCCTAGATTTTAGTGACCTATGGTTCAGGATTATTTGAAGGCTGGGATAATAAATAGAAGCAGGTGAACATCTTTATAAATCAAAATTGCTAGCATACAGCCCTTGGTTTTTGTCACTGCCACTCTAAAGTCATTCTTCCATTGCAGAAGAGACCTCGGCTCTCCCTCCGCAGTACTATGAGCTCAATGTTCCCAAGCAACTCAGCCCCAGGCAGCCCCCTCCGGTGAGTGAGGACTTTTGTCCTCTTTTTGGAAAACTATGTCTATTTAAAGCTATGTTCTTGGTATATATGTCATATGTAGACTCTAATGCACGGCAATCCTATGCATGTCCACGTAGGACTGTTCAACATAGGGCTTTCAGTATGGTTAATTTTTCAGAAGTAGCATGCCAGGCTTTACTTCTGTGGGACCTCCACAGAAACTCTAACTTCTAACCTTTCTGTTTTCTGCCAGTTGCAACCTGCCTTTGCAACCCCCAGGGGCTTCTAACCAATGGCTGTTGCATGGATCCGACTCATGGTGACACCCTGTGTTACAGAGCAGAGCTGTGCATAGGGTTTTCTTGGTTGTAAACTCTACAGACATAGGTTACCTGGACTTTCTTCTGTGGCACCGCTGGGTGAATTCAAGCTGCCAACCTTTAGGTGGGTAGAGGATTGCAAACCACTGGAACTGTCAGGGGCTCCTAGGTGATAAAACATGGTGTGTGCTTTGTGTTCATGATGGAGCAAGTTGTCCCTGTTCCTCTTCCTCACAATTGGACAGCCTGGAAGGAGTAGGTCTGAGACATGCAGTGCTGCTCTCGCTCTTTGTACCCGTGCCTCTCTGTTCTGTGTGCGTGTCTGGGGAGGTCATGAGTTGACTTGCAACAATCTCCGTCTGAATCAGTATTCTAATGAGCCGTGTTCATGATTTGCCATCTGTTCTCTTTGAGCCAATGTCTCCCAGGACTGAATGCCAGGGACTCTCTGCACTCCTGGTTCCCCAGTCTCCACAGGAAGCTCTTCTGCACTTGGGCACACAGGGGTGCAGTTCACAGATGGCTGCTGGTGGCTGGGTCAGGAGCAGGATTGAGAAAATGTGGTTTTGTCCAAATGCAAGATCAGTACCTGGGAAACATGGGAATTGGAAACATCCTATGAGTACTGGCGTTTTAGGGGAGAGAATGGGATTCATGGATACCTAAGGCCAGCATCCCTGGCAGGCTGGGGTTCCGTTTACCTGAGATGAAGAATGTTGTAGGTGGAGTAGGTTTAGGGGGAAATATCAGAAGAGTAGCTTGGAATTGGTTGATTTTGATATATAGAGTTGAATACACCAACCTGGAGTTCTAAAGCACTGCATACATTTTAGGTGCTGTTTGCTGTTAAACACCGATTTGAGGGATAGGAGCCCTGGTGACTCTGTGGGCTAAGCATTGGACTGCTAACAGCAAGGTTGATCATTCAAACCCACCAGCTACTCCAAGGGAGAAAGAAGAAATTGCAAGCTTGCATAAAGATACTCAGTCTTGGAAAACTTAAAGAGCAGTTCTACTAGCAGTCCTAGTCAGAGTTTTTATGATTTCTATGATTTGGAAATTACTACATTGGATTAGAGGCTGTGGGGACACAGCATATTAATTTTCTGATAAAGAGCTAGCACTGCTTAACATAGATGTACAAGCTAGGGTTCATTTTCAGAGAATTAGATTCTTTTATATTAAAAAATACACTAGACTACATATGCAAATCCAGGCCACTGTAGTTCTCTGGTATGACTTTCACCTTGCATGCAGGAATCTGGGGTGTGATTCCACGTCAATGTACTTTGTGTGCGGCCAACAGCCCTCTGTTGAGGCGCCTGGTGTATTGCTTTGATTCTGAGCAGGGTTTAGCAGAGCAGGCCCACTAAAACAGACCAGGAAGAGAGGTCTGACAACCCACTGGTGAAAATCAGCCAATGGGAAAAACCCTATGACTCACATGGCCTGAGCGGCAACTAATCATGGGGGTGGTGCAGGACTGGCAGGTCTTGTTTCATTGTGCACAGGATTTCCATGAGCCAGGGCAGCTAATAACAGCAACAGCCTCTATCCGTCTCTTTCTCTCTCCCTCCCTCTCTCTCTATCACCTATTTACCTACTTATCTATCTGCCCCAAAGTATTGCGATTAGGGTTCGTTGATTCCAGTGTGTTTAAACTTAGCATCTCTACTACTAGAGGATGGACTGCAGGCACGTTTTCTCAGTAATACACTTGCCTGATTGGGGTGCCTTAAAAGAAAAGTCCACTCAACAGTGGATCTGAGAGGATCTACTGCACCCGTTAAAGTCCAGGCAGAGCGGCCAGTCCAGAATGTTATAGAGACTGCTGTTTGGGATGTTGATCGATTTTCTCAAAGGACACAGGTTGATCATGGGCTTCTTGTGAGAAAATTTAAAGAAAACTGAAAATTATATTGATGAGATAAGGGCCAGGAAAGTTGCTTCAAGAAATTACACACACACACACATCACAGTATACCTGCTCATTATTTGATAGTAGCTAGTGTTGTCCTGTTAACATTTCTCTGAAAAACCTTACCCCATTAACTTCAGAGCCCCAGTCTTTCCCCATTCAGGCTTCTTTTTGCTCTCTAAACTCAAAGAAATGGAAAAGAAACACAATTTGAGTTCTCAGAGGGTTCCGAAGCTGCTCGCTGGATGTGGAAGAGTGTAGAATTCTTTGGGGGCGAGGGGTAGGGAGCTGGGAGCCTTGGCTTCAGGAGTGTACAGACCTAGATGAAGGATATGTTGAGAAACAACGACTTCAAATTTTGATCTTTTTGTTTGAGAAAGGCTTTTATGATTTTGCAGCAGTGCTTTTTGACTCAGCTTTGAATCTTCTCCAGCACCATTTTCCTGCCCTCTCTGAAGGGCACTTCACAAAGGAAGCATTTCTTCCAAAATTTCTGCAAAGGAGTTCCCATTAAATATGAATGCTGTTCCCTTTTTCAGGTTTTGGAAAAGCTAGATTTGAAGGTTGGCTTTCTGACAAGACATTGAATCAAACAGCGTTGGGTTTGCTCTGCACAAGAGTTGTTAGTGGCCTGAGGTAGTGGTGCTCAGCTATTACCTTCACAGGCCCCCGGTCCTTCTCTCTTGGCAGGGGGAGAGGGTATTTACTTCTGTTTCCAGGTAGCTCTAGGCTGTAATATTCCCCTCTGTGGGGGGGAATCAGCTTGATGCATACTTCTTGCCAGGGATGTGTGCCTTCCAGGCCTCTAGCAGGGGAGAGGACCTGTGAGTGATGCTCAACTATATGCTGGAGCAACGAAGTGATGCTGTTAGTGCTATAGTCATCACCAGGTGGGAAGACAAAAGAAGAAGGTCTGTATGAGGAATAGTCAGCTCCCTGTCGGAGGCGGTCCAAGGTGCTCACGTCAGGCGGGCTGTCAGGAAAATGGAGAGGCTGATTCATTTCCATCAAGTCTACTCTGTTTGGTACATGTGTGTCTCAATTTAACCCGGGGCTGGAAGGAACAATCACAGAAATGCAACAGGTGCCTTTTACATTGAATAAGAGATGACCGTGAAATGGAGTGGATTTCAAGCTATAATTTTAGAGTTGCAATGGTAGTCAATCATTTTAAGAAGTAGCAGCTGTATGGGGGTCAACATTGGAGACACAGTTCAGAAATTATGCCCGGTCTGACCCTCCGACACTGGGCAAAACATGAAGGGAGCACAACAGAGCAAAGCAATGAAGTCCCTGAAGAATCCCCAAGATAGACTTCAGGGACAGGGCTTGACATCTCATCAGACTTGATGGAAAATATTCACAATGTCAACAAACAGACCTAGAACTATTTATAGACACTCCCCCCCCCCCCCCCCCCCCAATGTCTATCTATATAAGATAGGCAGGATACACAATCCCGAGGAGAAAACATTGGGACCAATGGTTCCGGGAGAGGGGTGGACATGGAAGAGAGAGAGGTGGGAGAAAGAAAGGAAGGAGTCAACAAACCCAGGGACAAGGGAAAAAGTGATCGAAAATCGATGGTGAGGAGGGTGGAGAATGCCTGGTGGGGTTTGATCAAGTGCAATGTAGTCGATAGGAAATACTGAAAGCCAAATGAAAGTCAAACATAATAGTGGGACAGGAGAAAAGTAAAAATAAATAGAGGAAAGAATTAGGAGGCAAAGAATATTTATAGAGGTATAAATACAGACATGTACACATGTAAATATATATATGTATATATATAAATATACAATGATAGGGAAATAGATCTATGTACATATAATTATATGTTAAGTATTAAGGTAGTAGACGGACATTGGGCCTCTACTCAAGTACTCCCTCATCGCAAGAATAATCTGTTCTATTAAACTGACATTCCATGATGTTCACCTTCCCAACATGATCCCTGAAGACAAAGTGGGTGCATAAGTAAATGTGGTGAAGAAAGCTGATGGTGCCTGGCTATAAAAAGATATAGCTTCTGGGGTCTTAAAGGTTTGAAGATAAACAAGCAGTCTGGTAAGACCACATGGAAGAAGCACACCAGCCTGTGTGATCATGAGGTGTTGACAGCATCAGAAGACCCAAAACCAATGATCACATCAATGCGAATGAGGTGGATCAGAGTGAAGACCAAAAGCCCATCTGTAGAAAATTGGACATCATCTCACAGAAGTGTTACAAGGAAGGGACAAGGCAGGCAGGGTGGGTGCCGTATAGCACTGTTGAAACATACACCATTCCTCTAGTTCTTTAATGCTTTCTCCCTCCCACTATCCTATCCCCAGTTCTACCTTACAAATCCAGTTAGACCAGAGCATGTACACTGGTACAGATAAGAGCTCTCAACCCACAGAATCTGGGATAGATAAACGCCTCAGGAAAAAGAATGGAAGTAGTGATACCATGAGGGGAGGGGGAAGGTGGGAGGAGAAAGGGGGAAGAGGATCGCAATGATTGATGTAGTTAGTGTGGGTACATTAGAGAAACAAATCCACAGAAACTCATATGTATAAGGGAAAGTTTTATATAAAGGGTAAGTGAACATCAAAAAAACACCCCAACCCAGTGCTGCCCAAGCCCACAAGTCCAACATTAGCCCATATGTCTGACACCAATCCACAATGTCCTCCTCCATCTCACAAAACACACACAGTTATGCCAACTGCAGGAGGAAAGCCAAATCACTGAACGTGTAAGCATCTCAGTGCTGGCAGGTGTCTCCACACAGCTGC